TTATATTTTTTTCAACAACTCCAACTTTGTCTGTTATAAGACTCTTCAAAGCATCTGAGTTCAAAACTTTGTTGTATCTATACTTTGAAGTTCGTTACATACTATAAGTTTCATATTCTCTATTGAAGAGTTAAATTTACCGCAGATGTTTTCTAAGTTTGTCATATTAGGGTTCGAATAGCCCTCTAACAGTTTGCACAAAATATCTGTAAAGAAAGTGTTCTTACCAGTTCCTTGTTTTCCAATTATGATGAGAGCAGTTTCATTTTTAGCACTTGGATGTTGTAAGATGTTTGCAAACCAACATAAGATATACTCATAGACTCTTTCGTTTCCATTGCATATAATTTCTTTGACATGGTCTAACCAAGCTTCTATAACATTTTCTTTCCATTCTACTTGTTCGTATTTATATCCAGTGAAGATAGAATAGAAGTTTGGAGATGGTGTATAGAACTTTATACCTCGAACTGAAAAATCTTCTAACTTTGACAATAAGATATCCCAAGCATCTAACATCTTCATGCCAACTTGTACGACTTTTATTTTCTTAAGTTTTGTCTACATTCTTGTTCTGAAACTATTGTCGCTCTTGGTTTGTTAAAGACAACATCCCATTCTTTCATGACATAACATTCTGGGGCAGAGTCAACATAAATGACTAAACGTTTCAAATTCTCGACTGCTTTGTTATAGTCTCTAAATGGACACATATTTCTGAAGCTTGGAAGTCATAAAAATCTGAAACGTCTATTCTGTACATTTTTATAAAAATAAAAAAAATATTTTTTTATTCTTGACTTTGTTGTTGCATTTGTTCCATTTGTTGCATTTGTTGTTCTTGAGCTATTTGTTGTTGAAGTTGTTCTTGTAGTACAATACTTTCACCAGTTGCATCTTCCAATTCGAAACTTTCTGCCGTCATTGACAAATACATAGGACATAAAAGTTTTACAGGAACAAAGTTTGCGTCACTAAGGTTAAGTTTATGTTTGCTAAAGTGTTTGAGTTTACTAAAGCTGAAAACTCTGCATTCGAATGAACAATAGGCAAACCAGCAGAGAAAGTGTTGTTTATACGCATGAGTATCTTTTGGTCATAGTAGTTTCTGTCGACATTCGAATAGCACTTTGAACCTAAGTTTGAAACAATATATAAAATAGGTGTACTTAAAGTCAATGGAACAGACATTCCTTGTATGACACCTTTTCCTGTTATAGGAAACTGTTGGTAGTAAAAACCAGATATAAGTTTTGTATTATAGCTCATATCGTTTATAGTAAACTCAGTCGGACATCCAAACATAATGAAACCTGCTCTAGTTGCAGCACATGTTACATCCGTCCTTAAAGTATTAAATAAGTCAACAAAACCTGTTGGTGGTATATCTGAGTAAGTATCTTCAAAGAAGTATTTTTTACCATTCACAACAACAAAGTCTTCTGGTGTCAAAAGAGCAAAACAGGCTTTAGTCGTCATTGTGTTTAAGTTAGTTTACAATATCGTCCTTGAGGACTTTGTAAGTTTGTTGTTATAGAATTATATGACTCAGGGTTTTTAGTCGTAATAGTATAAACCACTATGTCTTCTGCCATTTACTTAGCAAAAAATTTTAATGAAATGTTGTGGTCGTCAAATATTTTTATGACGTCTGGGAAACTATATTTTAAGTTCAACGTTTCACCTCCTTTCATAACGTATATCTTGTCAATGACATTATATGAAACACCACAGCAAGCAATGTCGGGTTCTATTTCTTTGATGTTTATATCGTCTGCCTCTGTCAAAAGTTTCAATAGTTCTTTCAAAACTTCATGAGGTGCGATGACATATGAGTTCACTTTTACAGGGTTGTGTTCGACCAAGTTTAACATTATACCCAAAGCTTGACAAATCTTCTCCTGAGTTTTAAGTTTGTCTTTAAGTTGTTGGTAGTCGTTTCGAATATCTGCAACAGAACTTAAGTCTCTGCTAACTTCAGGGTATGTTGGTTGTTCTTTTACAGGAACTATTGTTATACCATCTTCGTCTTCGTATGGTTTCCCCACTTCAACATCTCTTTCTTTGACATTGACAACAACACTTTGACTGTTTGTTTGAGTTGGTGAATTTAACTTCACATCTGCCACCGCCATTAAACCTTTTGAAACACTTACGCTTCTATTTTTCGGAAATGACATTTTACTTAGAATAAAAAGATGGACGTATTTGAGTATCTCTTCGAATTGAAGCAAAACAAAGTTTACACACACAAACAATACAAGTTCATTGACAGAATAGTTCTTTACAAACAATGGAAAATGTTATAGAATAGCAGTCTTTGCTGAACCAAAATATTTTCATAAAGCAAAGAAAGTTGGTATAAAGAGATGGTGAAAGTTCTTGAAGCAGACAAAAATATAACAAAAACTGACCGATATTTCTAAAGGTTTTATAATACAATTTATGTCAAAACTGGCGTACTGTCAATATTTGACGGAGAGAAGTCAGTTCAAGAACAACTTACTGACCTGCTGCCAAAATCTGCTCGATGGAAGCTGTCGTTATACCAATCTGAGGAGCCCCAGCAGGTTTCATCGAACGAATTTTCAAAAGAGCATCTTCCGTGAAAAGTGCTATTGGTTTTGTAAACTTCTTTGCTTTCAATTCATTTGGACCGTCTCTGTCACCAGTATATTGTATTTGAACTGTACCAACAGTTGAAATACCACCCATAAAGTCTTCTGAGTCAGCAAATGGAATGCCAAGCCAAAAGTTTGAACGGTCTCCATTTGTATATTGAGTTTTTTGAGCTCCTGTATGAGTCCATACTTTCACATATGGCATAATAGAACTTTGCATTTCAGGGTTAATGGTTGTTGTGAAGTTGTTGTTAAAGTTCATAGCATCTAATGTCAAGTTGTATGACCTCATATCCTCAACTGTAGAATATTCTTCTCTTGGATAGTATTTGCCATCTATGTTTATATGGTATTTAATACCAGGGTTGTAGAAGCAAGAATAGTCATTTATAGTTCGTCTGAACAGTACAAACATAGTATCTGCATGTTTCATTGCAGTTGTTAAGCAATATCTGTTCTTGCACCTGGGTCAGCACTTTGGTTTCCAACTTCACCTGCAAAGTCTTTGACAGATATTTGGTGTATAGGGAACATAAGTGGAACTGCAATATATTTGGCAGCTAAAGCATTTGAAATATCTGGGTCCAACATATAGACTGCAAGTCTGCTTTCTATTCTCTTGCATTCAAACTTTTCGCATGTGAACTTAACTGGGTCCCAAGCATTCCAGCAGCATTGAAATAATAGTTTACTTCAGTGTTGAGGTTTGAGAAACCAAAGTCTAAGTCAACTTTGTCTTTGCAAAAGTCGGCGAATGACGTTTGATTTGCTCCCTTTACGTCTGTAAGAGTGAATGGGTCTTGTGTTGGTGCAATGACTAAGTTATTTTTGCTTGGAGTAAGTTCGATAGAAATTTTTCCTGCCCAGTTTGGCAAGTATCTTAAAAACCTGAAGATGAGGAAAGATGACAAAGGAACTCTAAGTTTCAATTTTACTTTGGTTACTGCTGCTGCAGTTTGTCCAGAAAGGTTAACATAAACTCCTGGAACGTTAGGGTCAAGTCTTCTTATTTTTCAATAGTTACTGGTCTGTTTGTTCTCTAGCTTGTGGTTGTACTGAGTTTCTCAAAGCGAACCATTCATAGTTTGCCCAGTTACTGTTTGAACTAAGTCAGAGTTAGAATATATCTTATATCCATGAAAACTTCTGGAGCATATTGGTATCCGACATAGAAAATTCCATTGCAACCTTTCTTGTCAGACAACTTGGCAGAAGGTTTTATTTCAATGTCTTGTTCCACGTATAAGAAAGAGTTGTCAATAGAAATTATATGAAACCTGTCGCAAGCAATATCTACTGTTGTTGAAGAACCTTCTCCAAACTCACCTACGTTTCCATAAGAAACAGCAGTTGTATATTCGTAAGTTCCAGGAACTATTTCTGACCTTCTAATGGCATTGTCGCATTCGTTATACCATTCGGAAACATTTCCATTCATGCATCCAAAACTGTTGGCGTTATATTCTGAGCGGCGTACATTTCATATGAGTAAAAATATAGAATAGTTGGATTTATATGTCATAATAGAACCACGTGGACCAAGCTTTACTTTCTTCCTGACTGAGTTTTTAACTCTTCTTTTTCCTTCATTGCCCTCTGCTTGAAGTTGTTGCATCTTTGCATTATGTTCATCTAGTATGTTGCAAATTTCCCATGTCCTTTTTGCCTTTTGGCTCTGGTCGCCCATCTCAGGTAACCTATATCCTAGAAAGAGTTTGTCATAGTCTGTATTTGAGTCTTCGCGTATTGTTTGCATGACTCTTTCCTGAGTTTCTGGTTCAAGCTCTTCAAACAGTGCCTGTCCATATGGAATATGCTCGTTTCCAAATATATGTTTTTGTAGCCATTCTGGTTTTCTTTCCATGTTACCAACTATATCTTTTGTGAATGGGAAAGCTTCTACCCAATCTTTCAGTCTTGCGTCGTTTATTTCTGTAGTTGGTTTTATTTTGTCAAGGAACATGTTTTTCATCATACTAACATTTCATCTGGTACTGTCCATTTGAGTTTTCTTAAATATTCATCCCTTCTCAGTTCATTGTCTGCAAAGTAAGTTTTTATGACATTTTGTAAACTTTCGTTTGCAAGGTCATGTACAATAGGTTCTCTTCCTTCTCCTCCCTAACTTTCTTTCTAAACTCTTCACCAAATATACCATCTCTATGGTTCTGTGTAGTTCTTTGAGATAAATGTTCTAGAACGTCAGGTGTTATATTTCCATCAGCCATGTTCATTTCATACTGGTCCAAAATATCTGCATCTTTCATATCTTTCAATGGCATTAAAGCCGCGCTGAAAATACCAGCTATATCTGGTTCACCATTCACTTCCATTGCGTCTACAACTTCTTGGAATTGTGGTTGTAAGTTTATGAACCACCTATCTGGATTAGCTTTATGACCCCATCTCATTGTAGTTCCATCGTCTGCAGAAACAAAAGTAGGTTTGTTTCCATCTTGGTTAGGTTCTGAATGAACTTTAAACAATGTTTCATTTCTATATGTTTTCTTGAAATTTAACCTTTTATCTTCACCGAGTTCATCCGAAGATTGAACGTTAAATGCTCGTAAGTAAAAAGGGTTGTTGTATTTGTGTACATTTTTTTCAGTTTTCATTCTATGCTGAATATTTTCATCTGGTGTTGGAGTCTTTTGTATGTCGGCAAACATTTTTCGATATTCTTCTACTATGTCAGCCGAATTTTTTTTAGACTCTTGGAAATATTCCATATTCTCCGCATACTCTTGTTGAGGGTCAAGATTTTTCGGCTGTTCCAAATCTTCATCTAGTTCTGTGAAGTTAGTTTCCAAAGGAGTGACTTGTTCGTTTCCTTCAGGCTCTTCTAGCTGTTGTTGCTGAACTATTTCTTCCATGTCTGGTTGTATCTGAACTAGTTCTTCCTGTGGAGTTTCTTGTACCTCATCTGCTGGCATTTCATATATTCCGAGACCGTTTTCAACAATTTCCCTATCTACGTCATCCGCATTCATAAGCTTTTGTTCTTTCGTTCCGTCTCTATTTTTTACGCGTTTCATGACGAAAGTTGAATTGTCATTTAGCTCTGACATCAAATATCTCGGAGTAAATTCATCCATGTCATTTGGATGATATGCTATTAAATCATATCCCTTAGCGAGCTTGTATTTTCCAGGTTTGAGATTATATCCGTTTTGGTGCTGAGCCATAAAGCTAAATAGGTTCGGGTCAGTATTTCCATCCTTGAACTTTCTAATAGCTTCTTTATATCTGTCACTAAAGTCAACAGTATCTGGGAAACCACACTCTTCTTTAAGCATTTTTAAGAATTCTTGGTTTCCTTGTTCTCTACTTCTTTTATGTCCTTGCTCTGTTTGTGGTTGTTGTTGTGCAGGGTTTTGAACTGTTGGTTGTGCTGGATTTTGAACTGTTGGTTGTTGTGTTGGTTGTTGTTGTTGTTGTTGTTGTGCAGGGTTTTGAACTGTTGGTTGTTGTGTTGGTTTTGGTGCATGCCTGTGTCTGTGTCCATGTGACGATGTAAATGTTTTAGGTAGTCCTGGTGCAGGTGCTTCTCTTGGAGGGTTTGGTGGTATATAAGTTCCACCAGCTGGCACATATGTTCCATCTGCAGCGTAATGTCCTACCTGACTTTTCGTTCTTAAGAAAGCATTTACTAGGTCTGTTTTGGTCTGTTGTAACTCTTTTTCTTGACTTTTCACAACAGTTGCTCTAACGGCGTCATAGGCACTTTGAACTGCCTGTCTCGTTGCTGCATCTGTTATTTTCGTCATATTTTGTGCTACTTCTTTTAACTCTTTGTCGAAACCTTCAGACTTCAGTTTCTTTCCAGATGAGAAGTCGTTCACTTGTTTCACCTTACTATGAAGAGCTTCGAAAGCGTTCTTAAAGTCAGCATTTGTTAAAGCTTCATTTGAACTGTCTTCATCCGCTTGTATTTTTGTCCTTATTGACCCTATAAGCTGGGCTGCTTTAGCGTTGGCTTGGGCATCTAACCAGTCATTGTTAGCTTTTATATTCTGCGCTTTTCATTGCCTTTTGCATAGCCGCGTCGTTATTTTTACTTTCTTGTGCTAAGTTTTCATACTGTACGGTTTGGTTTTGCAACTGTAAAAGTTTTTCTGCCTTTACATTTGCTTCAACTTCTTTTTTATACTCATCGCTATCCATATATGTCTTCAGGCTTTTTGTTTTATCTCTTCATCTTTCAGTATTTTATATTGAGTAGTATGGTTTTTCAAATTTATGACATCTTGTTCCATTTTTGCTACTTCTGCTGCTTTTTCTGACACTTTTTTCGCATATTCCTCTGTACTTAGTTCTTTCAGTTGTTCTTCTTTCTTCTTTTCTCTACGTTTAACTCATTGAGTTTCTTTGTGTGTCTGTCATATTCTAGTTTCTTTTCGTTTTCACTTATTTGTTTCTGTATGTCTATGTTTGACTTTTTGACATCTGTTATTTGATTTTTGAGTGAACTCAAATTCATTTGACTTTGAGGGTTATATGCTGTTCCGTCTGCAGCTCCACCATAGCCTGCCATTTTCGCTAAAAGTGCCGCTCTTAAACCTCCACTCTGTGCACCAACAACTCGGTTTAAAAGCATAGGATTGCTTGACATTTGTTGCAACATAGTGGGGTCATTCAGCATTTGTTGTTGCAACTGTTGTTGTGGTGTCAGTCTTACTATTGGATGTTTCAATGCTCTCTTCCTCTTACGTATATTCTTACGTAGCTTACGTGGCATTTTAAGTGAAGTTAAAAAGCGGTTTTTGACAGATGTTTATATGACACTTTTTGTTCAGCACAAAAAACTACTCGGTCAAAGTGTTGTCAGTTTTGTAAAATAACCGTCTTATCTCATTCTATAAGGGGGAAAGTCTTCTCAAAGTATACTTCCTTGGAACGCCTGTAACTTTTCCTGTAGCGACGATAGACCCTTACTTGTCCAGACAAAGCTGTACTATTTTGAGTGCTCTACAAAAAAGTCAACGGCTACGACTCTCAAAAACCGTTGTGTAAAAAGTTTTACCGTTGGACAAAAAAGTATGTATAGAAAACAAAAAACGTTTATAGTTCATTCAATATTTGAGATGGAACGGTTTGCCAACGGTAACTATTAAATAAAATAAAAAAATAGAGGGGGTTACCGTTGACGAAAACGGTTTATTTTAAACTTTTCTATGAGTAGTCCGAAAAAAACAGTTTATTTTTGTCTAATGGAAGCCAACATTAACAATTCTCAACCGCTAACCAAAGCCAAAGCCCCACAACCTCCAAGAACTGGCACAGCTGTTAGAATAACCGCCAAAAAGTCTAACAGCGAATTAAGAGAAATTCTTCAACAAATTTGCTCTAAATATCTCAAAGACGCCGAAGAAAACACACAACCAGACGCTATATACAATACTCAGTTCTGTGAAGTTCTGAACAAAGCAATTGCTAGTTCAATTGAACTTACTAAGACAATTCCAAGTCCAATTGAGCTTAGCGATGTCTTAGTTCAGTATTTTCCAACATTTACTAAGCTTATAATGTTGAGAACTTTATACCAAGTTCGTCAAAATCTTCCTCGTTACATGCAACGGTCATTCGACAAGAGCATTGCCGAATTCCAAGTCTTTAGTTACGGATATGACCAAGATGAATACACTGACGAGTTCGGAGACAACTGTACAAAATGGTTTGACTGCTATACGACTACACAATTTGAATTCGACTTTCTCGAATTCAACGCAGCAACCATTTATATCATTGCTCTTTACCTTTCCGAACAACAACAAGACCTCGCAGATGGAGATGTTGTTACTGTCGTCATGGAAACTCCTGAACAATTCGGAAAAAAGAAGTCTCTAATTGCCAAATTTGTTCCAGGACATCAGCTTTTCCAACGCACAGAAGTCTTCTGTATTCCTGGAACTAAGTTCTTTGTCAGGAGCGAACTCAAAGAAAGATATAATGTGTCATTCAATTACACATTATATAATGTCTTCGACCCAGAAGAAGACTTCTTCCCAGAAGCAATGGAGGAGGAAGAAGAGGAGGAGGAAATACAAGACTCAATCCAAGAAGAGTCCTCCGAATTCACACCAGAAGACTAACAATTTTCCGAATAAAAACCTCATTTTTTACTAAACATCTTCGGGGCTAGAGGGCACGAAGTGCCTGGAAGCCCCACTACCTTTTTTTTTTTTTTTTTTTTTTTTTTTTTTTTATGAACGTCCGAAAAGCAACAACCTGAAGTTGTCATTTAATATCCAAAAAAATGGAAAATAAAATATAAAATTATTTGCGGTTTTAATCAAAAAGTCATATTTGAATTAACAGTTTTGAATCTTCAATGGGCTTTTTAGAAATGCTAGATATAAATTTGTTTGTTTATTGATTAATGGGTGTAAAATAGGCATGTATTTTATTGCATATTTTGAATGTAAATTCAATTTTGAATGACAACAGTTGAATTCACTGCTGAAGCAGCAGATAATGAACTAAATACGAATTTTATGTGTTATATACTATAATTCACTAAAAAAGCCGAAGAAATGACATTAAATTTGAATTTCAAATTTATTTCTTCAAATATATTGATATTGTTTGTACATATTATATAAAACCCTTTTCTAAGATAAAAAATATCATTGATATGGCCAGGTTTTTTATTGAAAACATAGAATAAAAAATCCAAGGCTCAATTAAAATATAAATTTGAGTAATGATAATTCTAATAGGAAATAAGATAGTGTAAGTATATTTCATTTTCAAATAACTAAATAATATGAGATTATTCATATAGTATGTATCAAAAGTGCTTTTTGTAAATGAGCCAGAGCCCAAGACCTCCGAGATACAACACTTCAAAGAATTCAAACAGATATAGCTATCTACAATTCTTTCTACTGATTGTTCTTGAATCAGTAAAAGGAATTATAGATAGCTGTATCTGGAAGTTGGAACAGATGAGGCCCACAGCCCCCTTTCGTAAGGATTGGGAGCTATGGAGCTCCAAAAGTGAAGAAAAGCTTCACTGATCTTCTGATAGGGCTTCATGAGCTCCATGACTCCCTTTCGTAGGATTGGGAGCTATGGAGCTCCTGTAAAGGCTTAAAAGGCATAGTACAGACCAATAAAAAATAAAATGTAAAAAAAAATTAGTTTACAAAAGAGTGTCAGATTTTGGAGCAATTTTGTTCCCTTCTCATATTTCATAAAGCTAAACAAAAATATAATGAAAACTATTAAGTAATATTGATTATGTATAAAAAGGTAAAGGCGAATTATTGGTAAGGAGTAACATTTACAATTTTATTATTAATAAATTAAATGCGGTTAATTGGTAGAATCTTGTTCGAAGAATTCTGTATTACACATTGGGCAATGTTTATTTTTCTGAAGCCATTGGTCAATGCAATGCTTATGGAATTTATGTCCGCATTTTCCTTCTGTTGCAGCGCAGGGCTCACTAAGTCCTTTTGATTCGCATGTACTGCAAGGTGACATAAAACTACTCTTGCAAATTGCGCAGATATCTTGTTTACCTTGCCAAGATGATAAATAAACCGGATTGAATTTATATACTACAAACATCATTTGGTTCTTGTTATCTGCTTTCTTAGCATCGGGCTGTTGTTTGTTGTCCCCGGCTGGAAGATCAGTTGCTGGTTTTGAATCTTGCATTTTGACTAAAAAAAATTTACCAAATGGAAAAAAAATTGGGGGTGTGCATCTTAAGGAAAATTTTTCCAAAAATAGGGGGTGATAGTTTACATAAAAAGTGCTAAAATCTGGCACATTTTTTATCGATATGAATGAGAATAATGTTGTTAAGTTTATGAATATTACAGATTGTGATCGCAGAACTGCATGTTTTTGCCTAAACGAATACAATGGTAATATGGATTTAGCTTTATCATTCTATTATGATGTATTTTTAGCAAACAATGCCAAAGTTCCAGAGAAATTTAGTCTAGAAGATTTCGAAAAACAATATGGATTATCATTGTCGACGATTCCCAACAAAGCTACGCAAGAAATAAAGACTCCTACCGAATCTATCTTTGAAAGAAAATATCCAATTGAAGATGAAATTGTCGTTCCTGAATTTTTACACCGCAAAAAGCCAGTAACACCAGAAGTCTTCTTCCCCAACCCACAAATTCCTCATGTTATCAAAGAACAAGGTCCAGTACTTATCAATGATGAGGCATGCAACATAAATCTCATGATGAAGAATACATACACCATTGATACATCTTATTTGCCCCATGTTCTTATAACAGTTTGGGCAAATGGAATTACTATTAACGAGCATTTTATCGCCAATAACAGCGATAATTACAATGAAATGTATAATGAGATTATCAATGGCAAAATCCCATCTCTAATTGATGCTAAAACAAGCGATGTAGAACTTATTAACAATCATACCGAAGATTACCGAGTTAAATCTCAATAAACCATGTTTTGTTCTTTCGAAAATGTTTTTGATTGTATTTTTTCCAAAATGCAAACTTAATTACAAAATGAATTAAAATTCAACATAAAAAATGAAAAAAAAACTATTGAAATAGATATTAACTTTACAAAATACAAATAATTTGATTCAAATGTTCAAATGGGCTCTTCGCTTTGCAACTTTTGCCTCATGTTTTAATCTCATAACTTCTCTCTTCATGGATTCATTCTGCTGTCTAACTTCTGCAAGCTGTTTATCACGTTGCTCGAGAGTTTGTGTGAGTTGTTGCAATTTCTGCGTTTGTGTTCTTATTTTATCATCTTCTTGTTGAAGCTGAGCTCCTTTTGTAATGGCATTTTGGTATTCAAGCTTGAGTTGCTCACCTTGTGTAACAACAGATTCTATTTGTCTGCGATGCTGAGCATCCATAGAATCCATTTGTCTCATTGCAGCTGAGATTCTTTTTTCAACTTCGGATTTTCTGCGTTTAAGAGGCTCTATTTCACGTTCATGAACATCTTTCATTCTTTTAAGTCTATCTTTGTACTTTTCATCAAGCTGCCGGAGTTTCTGGAGGAGATTATCCAAATTAATTCTGTGTTCCTTTTCACTTTCTTCTAGTGTAGTAACGCATTGAGATAATTGTTGTTTAGCCGACATGAGTGATTCGTAACGCTCTTTGTTTTTGTCTTTGAGTGCATTTTCAAGAGCTTTAACACGATTAATTTCAATTTCTTGATTCTCCATGATTTCGTCTTCTGTATCTGAATGGCCTCGTTTTTCTTGATCGGATATCTTTTGTTTTACTTTATCAATCATTTCTTTTGTTTTCTTGATTTCGTCGGTGATTCCTTTAGTTCTTTGTTGAGTAAGTGCATCTGAATATTGCTCAATTTGAGCTAGCTTCGTTTCAAACTCTTGATGTATTTCATTAATCACTTCGCTCTGTTGTTGTGTAATTTGATATATTCTTTCTGAATGACTCGTATTTAATCTTGTTTTGATTGTCTCAATTGATGCCTTTTGCTTTCTTTCCTTTCCTACTACTTTGGCTTCTTGATGATTGTATTTGTCTTTCTCAATATTTATCTGATCTTCAATTTGAGCAATTTCTGCATTAGTTTGAACAATATCATGTTTAAGGCGCTCAATTTCATCATCTTTTAATGTAAGTTCTTGTTGTACTTTTGCCTGGAACTTGCTGATTTGTCGATCTAATGAAACAGTCATATGAAATTCTCTTTGCGTCCGTTTAGAAATTGAGCTAAATTATTGGTTAGAGCATTTCACCTAAAAACTTAAAAACATACTAATACAGCATGGTAGTTTTGGGTACCTTAGATCGAAAAACTTTAATTTTTATTTTAATTTAAAATCTTGCCTAAAAATTCAAAACTGAATAAGTAATAATTTTAGAGTGAACATAAAAATTGAATGTGCAAATATTATATTCGGATATGTATTATTGTTTCATCCTAAAGCAACTACATTGCACCATTTTGTTCAAAAAATAATTTTATATCATTGTACCCAAGATCACATGCATGAAAATAAGCTGTTAGACCGTCATAATCTCTTAAATTTATATTTGCATGGTGATAAACAAGGAATTTTATTGTATCCAAATCATTCACACCAACTGCAAGATGGAGAGCAGAGTATCCATTCTCCTGTACAGCATTTATATCTGCACCAGATGATAAAAGTAATTCTGCAATTTCAAGGCATTTATTGTGTAAAGCAAACATTAGGGGTGTTTGTCCTTTCTTTGTTGGTATATTAGCATTTGCTCCATTTGATATGAGAAGTTTTGTAATATCAATTGAATTATTTTTTGATGACCAACAAAGCACAGTTTGACCATCAGGAGTTTGTTCATTGACATTAGCACCATATGATATTAACAATTTTGCTGTTTCTACGCTATTATTTATTGCTGCAATAATCAGTGGAGAATCTCCTTCTCGTTTAATATAGGGTGTCCAAAGGTGTGTTTAGCACAAACCTGAATACTGCGAATAGAAATAAACAAGTTACATATATATAAAGTTTATTTAAATATAATCACCATTGGATTCAATCACGCGTTCGCAGCGATCGATCCAGGCTTGAAAGACACGCTTTAAATCATCATGAGAAAATTGCTCAAATTGCTCTCTTACAAAATTTTCAAGATCATCTGGACTCGCGAATTCGCGTCCTTCAGCTCTCTTTTTTAGCGTGCCGAATAAATAAAAGTCAGAGGGTGCAATATCAGGTGAATAAATTGGGTTTGGAACAACTTTGACATTGTTTTCCACCAAGTAATTCATTACCTTATGACTTTTGTGAACTCTTGAATTATCAAAATGAATTGCAAACTTTTGTTTTTGTTGTTTGGATTTCTCAAACTCATCAGAATTGATAATTTGAGTAAGAACATTGTCAATTAGATACTGAGCATTCATCGTATTAGGTTTTTGAAGAATATCAATTGCGATGATGCCATTCACGCCCCAAAAAACCGACAACATCATCATTGGTGTGTCAATTTTTTTCTTCGGGAATGTTTGCGGATTTTCATCCTTCGGGATCCACATGATTTTGGCTTCTGTTGCATATTGAAACCAAGACTCGTCCCCTGTTACTAAAAAGCGAAACTTCTTGGATTGATACGCACCCAATATAGAGAGGAGCTCTTTCGAAGATTGGACTCTAGATTTTTTTTGAACTGAATTAAGGTTGTGCGGAACCCAACGTGTATACGCTAGTTTGTAGTTCAAATAATTGTGCAGATAATAACTGACTGTTGTACGTGGTATCTTTGTCATCTCCTCTATCCTTCTGAGTGATGCTCTTGGGTCTTCATCTAGCGCTTGAAGAATTGCTTTGATTTTTCTTTGATCCGGCGATTTTTTGTCAATTTTTATGATGGGCGCCTTTTTGTTCATGAAGTGATACATCCTAACATGATACGTTACAGTGGAATAGCTAGGAGCATCCATACCGAAGCATTTTACCAATGTCTCGTAGATTTTTTACAGTCTTTGCATTTTTTTGCAAGAGCGCGGATGTTTTCTTTATGATTCATTAAAAAAATGAAAAAAATCCCGCCAAAATTTCCCGCGAAACCGCCTCTTGTCTCAAAATTCATTTTATATCCCGGCATGGCGCCAAAATACAACTTACTCATCATATACATATATTCATATTTTTTATTATATATTTATAATCAGCATATATCTCCTTTAATAGTCTCATATAGAGCGCTGTGCTAAACGCACCTTTGGACACCCTATATTAACATTTGCACCATTCAAAATAAGAAATTCTGCAACGTCGTAATTATTTGATCTAGCTGCAGCAAAAAGAGCAGCTCCAATGATATCTTTTGAAGTATAATCTGCACCAAATTTTATAAGAGTTTCGACTATTTTATTGTAATGAAGGCCGACTGCGTAAGAAAGACTTTTTTCTCCATAACTATCTTTTGAATGAACATTTGCTCCTTTATACAAAAGAAGTTCAATCAATTCTTTATTGCCTGTTGTTACAGCTATATGAAGAGCTGTCCGTTTGAATTTGTTTTCTTTGGCATTAATATTACATCCGTTTGAGATAAAATATTCCAAAACAGAAGGACCGAAATTAGCACAATAAACAAAACAGTTGTCAATGTCTTTTGAAATATCAAGGTGAACAAAGAAAGCTTGAAAATTCATCCAAAGCCTACAAGTCTCCAAATCAATATCTAATCCATGTTCTCTATTCAAAAATGTTATAAAATCGATATTGAATGAAATAATTGCATATTTCATGCATTCTTGATCAGGTTTTTGGAATTTCAAACATTCGTTCAAAATTTCAGGTTTTCCGCTTAAGAATGAAAATTGAAGGCATTGTGGAGTTATTTCTGATTTAAATTTTGTTCTTAATAGCTTAAAGCAATCAACAGCTCCGTGATAGCAACACAATTCAAGAAATGAATATCCTTCAGATGATTCTGGATAAAAATGATGTTTGAGTTTTTGTTCTTTATCAAATGATTCACTTTCAATGAATACAATAAATGAATCTTTATCATCGTCCATGATTGATCTATAAATTGTGTTTTTTTCATGGAGATCTAATGAATAATTTCCGAAAAGTTTCTGATCTCGATAACCTATTGGGAATCCATATTCCTTATTTAAGAAATAACTTAAGGCTTGATGTTCCGGTGAATCAAATTTTATTTGAAATTCGTCATAAAACATTTTGAAAATTAAATAATATGATTTCAAATATCTATTATTATATTTGTAAGCATTGAAAATGCAGGGGATAAGACCCGATGGAAAAACATTTATCTCAGAAGAAATTGATTTAAACTTTTGATAAATTTCTTGTATTTCGGAAATATTTGTTGTGTTAATACGTACGAATGAAGCTACAATTTCATGGTAGTTTCGATATCTTTCTGTTAACTCATTGAACATGAGGTGGATATCTTTCATTTCAGTTATTTAAAAAATTGAAAAGAAAGTCGAAAATATGAAAATTTTAGAATTTAGTTTGCTTTGTAATCAACTAGTAAAGACTGTGATGAATGTTCAAATAAACTCTTTGAATTTTGATTGATCAATTTGCGACTCTATTAAAAGCTCCGTAGGGGGTTTTGGAACCTGTGAGGTAATTTTTCTAAGCAAAATTGAAAAGCTTAAGTCATGACATCATGTGACGCCATTGGGTCGTATTAATTTTCTATTTCAATACTAAAATCTTTAATACGATCTCTTAAACTATGCAATGGATGGAATGAATACATTATTGGCAGCCCCCAGTTTGATAGTTTTTTGTTTCGCAAAATTAAAAATGTGTTTTATCTGAACATTGTGCAGTTGGTTTTGTAAGTTTTATATAGTATATTACAAATATTAAAAATTAATTCTAAGAGCCATGGCCTTTTCATTTTCATGAAAAATTGAGATACTCTGTTTGGTTTTTCTTTTGGTTGATGTCTACTCAAGTCCCAACCGGTGATGAAAAGAAGGAGATCATTGAGGATCTTCCAGTCCAGAAGATCCGCCTTACAATCACATCTTCTAAGCTTCCAAATCTTCAGAGAGTTGTTGGCAATCTTATGGGCAAGCTCAAGAAAGGCAATCTTGAAGTCCGCGGCCCAATCCCAATGCCACGCCGCCGCCTACGCATCACCACACGTCGTGCACCATGCGGTAACGGTACAGAAACTTACGACCACTTCGAACTTCGTATCTACAAGCGCGTTATTGATTTCCAGGGCACAGCTGAAGCCGTCAAGCAGGTTACTCAGATCGCTCTTGAACCAGATGTTCATGTCGAAGTTTCCGTTATCACTGAGTAAAATCTCTCTAGAATTCACATATTAAATATATAATATATGCTACAATATTTTACAGTAATACATTTCTAATTTTGTGTCTTAGTTTTTATATAATATTGCTGAAAATTTTTGTGAACCTGCAATTGTTTCTTTATTGTTACTAATTTCAATTGAGTCGAGTAGACATATCAGTATTATAAGTTATAACCTTGTTCCACATTGATTTATCATATTTTTAAAATATCTCTGTTCAAGGCTTTCTAATGATTGACATTTATCTAATTAGCTATTAATTAATATGTTGTTTTATAGCAAAACGTTATTGGAATTTAGAATCAAACTCCAATTATTTGAATGCTTTTTAAGAATAACTAGCATTTGCTAGAATATGAGCTGTTATTATGAGGCATGGTTGAATCGGCACCTTAATTTTTCATTCAAATGCCAATATCATTAAATCGAGTTCGCAGTTATATAAAAATAGAATTCGCATTATGTATGTTTTCTTCCAATAATTAAAACGTCAAAATTCTTATTTTTTAATTCCGCGAAAGATGTGAAATTCGAACAGATCTATTAAAAATGGTAAAATCATTGAATGTTTCGGTAGAAAATTCTTTTACTCCGGTAAACCACGAAATTTTTTGGATAAATCTGATATTATGCCAAGCCAAAAAGTTGGAATTAAAAGAAACCATCAAGGAATTATTCTTTAACTTCTTTAAAATCTTTAAATATTCCAAGATTCATATATCTTTATTTAGAAATTTAAAAATATATATGAAAAAATGTAGTTAAATTTGCTAAAACTCCAAAAAAATCATGCATTTTTATAATCAAAAGGGTAAATTAGGCAATGACACAACAGCTATTATTATTTGCTTGTTGAGTTGAAGGAATCAATAACTTCAATGCAGCAATAAAGGCTTCATTAATATTTACATCATCCTTAGCAGATGTTTCAAAGAATTTGCAATTCCATTTTGCGGCCTGTGTTGTACCTTGGGATTCAGTTACTGATCTTTCCTCAGCAGGAACATCACACATATTTCCACAAAGGACAATCTTTGGTGTATTATTAAGTGTTTTGATTTTATTATAGAATTTTTCTGTTTCTTGGAATGAAATCATAGATTTAACTGAATATACAATGATGAAAGCTTGCGCTTCTTTAATAGCAATATCTGTAATAGGGCCCATTTCTTCTTGACCTGCTGTATCAATAATGTTAAGAGTGTATGATTTAGAGTCGAGAACAAGTTGCTTTTCGAAGAAATCTTGAATTGTAGGGACGTATTCTGGGTCAAATTTAGATCTTGTGAGACGGAGGACAATACAAGTCTTTCCGACACCACCAGTTCCAAGAATGGCAATCTTATAGGCGTCTTCTCCCATTTGTAAAGGATTGGCTGGTTATAGAAAAAGTTATCCACAAAAATATACGATTATTTTCAAATCAATTTAACTCTTTGGTATTAATTTTATGATAAATTGATGTTAATAATAGCAACGAACACCCATTGCGTGACTAACGATTGAGCGTCTTTCAAATTTTGAGAAGAATTGTGATGATGCACGGAAATATAAATAAACAAAATAAGTTTGACAAGGGCGATATTTCGGAGTCTATCAATATTTGATGGTTGTTCGGTCTCTTCTTTTCATTTGTTGATTGTATTTAACCTTATATTCAAGATAGATTTTTGATATCGTTATAAACGGCAGAATGTCATTCTTATTATTTCATGATCTTGTGATGAATATTCTTAATAATTTCCTTAAAACCTGATAATGATGTTTCGAAATCAAAACTAGGCAGTAGAAACGATTTCATTTCATTGGCCAAATTGAAAACATGAAATAGGTGTATCGTTAACATGACCCTATTGATTTCAATGATATAGCGATTGCAGTTCGATTAAATACTCTGCAATAGAAGCCTCATTTTTTGAAAATTATCATTTCTGATCAAAAAATCTTTGTTTTCATCAAAAATTGATCTATGTTGTATATGGCCATGTTATTTGCAATGATGAAATTAGAATTTGAGATGAAAAATTATTGAATATAGCTCACAATACGTTTTTGAGCTCTATGGGACTATAGTGTTTAACTGTATAGAGGATTATGTCGAAATACGATATGAAAAATGACTTGTACGGCAAAATAAAAAGGAAAAATATAATATTATAAGAAAAATTGCAAGTACAGCGCACAAATATAACTTATATCATTTAATAGTTTATTGCTTTGTACGAGCAGCTTCAGCTGCTGCTTCCTTCAAAGAACTGACCAAAGAGGTCATTTCTTCTTCGGTGCAAGTGAAATTAAGTTGCGAGCCTCCTTCGAGATCTAATTGAACAAAGAATAAAGGTTTAAGGACAGATCCAGTTTCGCTATTAGATACTGCATAATCTAATCTCCAATTGCAGCCAACTACTTTTGGATATCCAGCAGAAATTGTAGCAAGTTTAGCACGAATGAGTTCGACTTTTGCAGAATATTGATCAGCGATGTAATTTATTGAAGATTCACCAATTCCAGCATCGCGGAGAACTGGTTTCATTGTTTCTGGAACAGATCCTTGACGAGCAAATAATAATATGAGTGATGCAAGACCAATTTGTGCGTCGGCTTCTTTGCCTTGTAATTCATTTTCTGTTTCTGGATTTAAAATTGCTTTGATTGCTATATCCGTAATTGCCTTAATGCGTCCTTCATCAAGAGATGCAAGGAGCTTAAGTGAATTAATATTATTGCTAGAAAGAGATGTCATTTGATTTAGAAAAGTGACAATTCAGTATTCATATATAAAAAATAGCTAAAAGAATGGAAAATAAATACAACAAGTATGATATGTCTAAACCCTTGAAAATAAGCGCTATAATGATATATTATCAAATGAAGGAGTAATATCGAAGGATTTTCCACTGTATTTGCATGTGAAAAATTGCTATAAATCGTTAATGAATTAACTTATAGATATAAACAAAACAGCATTTATGAATAAAACAAAATATAATTAAAAATTGAACCAAGGACCATTATAAATTGTATTAACCTCTCCCTCTTTAGTGTCATATGAATGTTTGGGAACTCGAGAGGACAATTCATTTAATTCCTTGGTTAATTGCTTAATTATCTCTTCATTTTCTAAAGATTTTTTATTAGCATTTTCTATTGCGCATTTCTTTTCTGTTTGAAGAACGCTTATGTTCTTATTCTCTTCTTCAAGCTTATGTTCTAAATCTGATATTTCGAGCTGGCACTGATCAATTTCTGCTTGAATGTCTGTTAGATCATATTGGGACTTTAGAAATTCTATTTCTGCTTTTTGCCTTTGAGCTTCTTGAGAGATTTGATTTTGAAGTGTTTGAATATTTATTTCATAACTTTCTAATGATGCTGAGTTAATGGCTTCTTCAATTTTAATGTTTTCGCGATTGGCTACTTCTATGTCTTTATCAATCGATCTAAGTTCTTGATATTGATGCAGCATTGGTAATAATTCAACCTTGCATTCAGGAAATTGCATTTCATTAAATTTAATTGCTAAGTTTGTTGCTAACTGCTCTAGGTTTGCTTTCTTTACTTCATATTTTAGTTGTACGCCTTCCGTTTCCAAACTTGGTTCTGTGATTGATTGGATTTTTTGAATCAATGAGTCTAATTTAGTTTCAGCTGTATTAAGTGACTTATTAGATTTCTCGAATAACTCTTTAATATCGTAATCTAAATGCTGTTTTGATATCTCTAATCTTTGGCTGAATTGTTCAGGAAATTGATTGAAAAATATCTTTTTTCGCTGTATCTCACTCTTTCTCGTTGTAGCATTCGAAAGTTTTTTAGTTGATTCGTCTTTTTTCTTTTGAGCAGATTCTAAATTGTTGCAAACTTCTTGATACTCATTATTTTTTGACTCTAATTGTTGTAATATTTCGTTATATTTTGATTTTAATGGTTGTATTTTTTGCGATTGCACTGATGAATGCATCTTAGTTTGTAATTCAAGGTCTTTTATCCTAACAACTTGTGTGAAGCAAAAGTTCCTCCATTTTGTCAGATCGTCAGTAATGTTGTCAGTAGCAACATTAAATATCTGATTCAAATAAGGAGAAAAATTCATCAAATGCACGTTTATTAATTTTCACAAAAAATCAATTTTGAATGTGTTTTCAATATGATACTGCATAGACTGGATAAATAATATGTACATAATGCAAATTAGTTATGTTAGCATGATGGAAATGAGAAAATGGCTCGAAGACTCGTGTGCAAGTAAAATTTGTAAAAAAAATCCTTTAGATGCTTGGATTTCTAAATATTAAACTCAGGTAATGAATATAAACTTTATCGCTGTGTCATAAATATCAATTTCATTCACATAATTAGAAAGACTAAATGAAAATGGAAAAGAAATGTGTTTTGAGTTTTCCATTATTTGAATATTTAGTTATCCCTTTCATCTGAATTGATACGAAGTGAGAACAATGACTTAAGTCTTCAAAATTTCTCACGAATTTTTATTTTCTTTCTCTGATTAAAGATCGATGTATTTCAAGACAAAGTTTTGAAAATAAGTTCTTAGAGTATAACTTTTTGAATCTAAATAATGATCGAGAAAGATAAAAAACCTTGAGATTATTTCTGGCAAATTTTTGATTTCTTTTATATAATGTTAACAAGAGAGGAGTTTCAAATTATGCAGAAGCAATTAGTTCAGATGACTGATGAAAAGAATAGTATGAAGACTGAAATTGCAACACTCAAAATGAACATTCAACAAATCCCTCAATTAAAACAAGAGCTAGCTGAACGAATACGGCTTAAGCAGTCAGATGAAATGACTCTTTTAAATGAAATGTCGGAAGTTCAGCAAAAAATTGGCCAGGTTAGAAAAGAAATACAAAATTTAAATGATCCGAACGTTCAAAGTACATTCGATGAAAAAAGATTGGTTAAAAAAGAGGAAAAGCTTCAAGAATTGCAGCAGGAAGATAAAATATATTCACAATCAATTGAAAATTACAATAAAAAACTAGAACAATACCAAGCTAAGCTCACGGCATTATCGAATTTAATAGATACTGAAGTTCAGACAATCAATTTCCGTATACGAAACTACAAAAAAATTAAGTCTTTCGCCACAATTTATATGACTGTCGGTGATTTTGAGTCACAAGCAATGACATTGAGCGAAAGACTAAATAAATTACAAAAGAAAAAGCAAAAACGTAATCAAACCATTAAAAATTTGTTAGTTAATGAAAGAAATTTAAAAGAACAAATTCAGATATACGAAGATACATTAAAAGATGTAGAAAATGCAGTTAATGAATCAGTCCGTCAACTGAACTCATCAGAGAAGGTTCTTGAGCTTGTAAAATTTGAATATCAAGGAGTTAAAAATTCTCTCGAAACAGTATTAGCGGAGTCAAGTAAAATACACTCTGACGAATATACTAAGGTTATGACCGAAATTAAAGAAGATAAACAAAAAATTTCGGAAAATCAAAATATTATTAAAAATAAGCAACAAGATATGGATCAAGCTCAAATAGAGCATAATATCTTGGAAAACAAAAAGGTTGCCATGATCAGTCAGCTTCAAAAAGTACTGACAGAAAAAGTTTCCCAAATTTCAACAAAAATAAACACTTCATCCGAAGTACAAGACATTGTTGCTCTTCAAGAGAAAATCTGGATTGATATAGAAGTTGCCAGACAAGAGTATCTCTCTGTTGCAAAAAGACACGAAGCAATCACAAAAGATGTCGCAAGAAAAGCAAGAATATTAAATGAAATGAGTGTTTTCGTTAAAGGACTTCCATCAGTGAATACAGGTAATCCATTGGATGAATTAACAAATATATTTAATGTTGCAACACAAGAGAACAAGAGATTGGCTAAGGAAATAGGAAAACTCACTGATCAGACAACTAAACTTGAAAAAGAAATTGCTTGGCTTAAGTCACAATTATAATTTATTTGTTATATTATTTATTTGTTTGTAAAAAATTCTATATTTTAATAACCATCAATTCAAATTACTTTGGGTCCTATTAACTCTAATGAATTTGTAATTCCAAAAAACAAGTTGAAGTGATTTGTATTTTTAATATAATCATTATGCATTGATAACAATGGGAGGAAATCTATAATATGACCACAACTAAACTTGAAAAAGAAATTGCTTGGCTAAAGTCACAATTATAATTTACTTGTTATATTATTTATTTGTTTGTAAAAAATTCTATATTTTAATTTATAGATAATTATTAGAAGAAAACTATATTATGGCAACAACTAAACATGCATAAGAAATCTGGGTATATAATTTACATGTTATATTTCTTTGTTTGTAAAAAAATTCTAAATAGATTCTTTATATTTTTCTAAATCATTCTTGCCTTTAATTGTGTGAATGAATTTATATAGCAGGAATATTCAAAACTCTAATACTCCAAAGTTCTTTTAATAGATATTGATTAATAGATAAGGTAAATATATATTTTTAATCTATCCGTAAGTAGTCATTAGAAAAATATTTGTGGTTTCAAACTAACCGGCTTAAAATGAAATCCAAATTAACTTTAAAAGCTTGAATCGATACCATTAAAGAGCGTTTTATAAAGCTTTTTATTTTATTCTTATTAATTTACCCTTGAAATCAAAAATATTGATCATTAAATAATCGCAATTGCTTGAATTCTCTCCTGTTTGAGTTAATTTGAAAGATACAAAATATTCGTTTGTTAGAAGTGGAAATTCTTTAATTTCTCCAAGCTTGAACTCATAGTATTTATCATTATCTAATTCAACAGTTGTTCCATTTTCTTTAACTCCTTTTAATTTCCATCTTCTTAATAAATGAGAATCATGCACACATCTCGATTGAATAGCATAAGATGATGGTTTTAATTTATATATCCTTTTAGATTGGCTTGAATCCATGAATTAGCATTATTATTAGTATAGAAATCAACGTCATCTCTATATGAATTTATATCTGATAAACTTTCATTATAAACGGATGAAGCTGTAAATCCCATTTTAATTTCTTTATAATCTACTAACTTAGTTTCATTAACATCAAAAGAGTTATTTGATATTGTAAATTGATTTTTAATAATAGGTCTTTCGAATGATGAAATAGATTCATTTGAGATTTCAATATTTCCTCTTAGATTTGAATGATAATTCTTTAATGTTTCGTTATATATAGTAAGAAGAACTGTTTCGAATGAATGTTCAATAGTAAAATTATAAATTGCATCATAAGTTTCTCGTGAACAAAATGTGAATTTGATATTTCTAAATAAATCAAAGAATGTATCATTCCTCTTGCAGATAGCTAACAGTAATAAAGATAAATGATCTTCGTTGTCGATCTTTAATTCTTTAGATTTCAATATTTTTTCGCAAAATTCATATCCATTTTTCGTGAAATTTTCAATGATATCATTGTCATCTAAGCAATATAAATGTGATGAGATGAAATCAATGCATTCGTTTTCTGTTGTAATATCATTTTCTAAAACTGAAATTTCATACTTCTGAAATACGTTTTCCTTTGTAATTGATTTGTCTAATTTGATATGTTCAGAATACACTTGGATGAATAGTTGATTTCCAAAATGTTTTCCTATTTCAAATATGTCATGATAATGTTCTTTATCTTCTTGAAATTCAAGTTTTCCTGTTTCGAGAAACTTTGAAAGTATGTCTATTGAATCTTCACATTTAAGATTTAGATTTGCTGTATATGATGTTATTGAAATATCGTTAATACATTTTTCTTGAATTAAATCTGAAAAACAAACTGCGGAAGACTTCATTGTTTTGATTATTCGATCATTGATATTGATATTTAATCGTCCACATTCTTTCAGAATGCCAACACGCTTTAATTCTTTGCAGAATTTCGTGATTTGAACCATGAAATGAGTGAGTCAAAAAAAATTTAAAAAAAAAGCATTTTATCACGATAGAGCACATTATCTATGGATAAAAATTCTTGAAGCAGTGCTCCAAAATTTGAATTAGATTCAAAAATATTTTTGACATGTAAACTTGATCTAAAAGTGACTCCGTGGGGGTTTTATTACGTTAATAATAAATGAAGAAATCTGCAAGCAGTCGTTCGAAGAAGAAAGAAGCGCCACCACCACCTCCACCACCTAAGAAAGATGATCAGGAGGAAGAAGAAGAAGTTTTCGAAGATGAATTTCAGCCAATGGATTTCTTGAAATTAATGTCTAACGATGGATACGTCTTCATAGTAGACAAGAAAACAGCGATGATCTCACAGACTATTAGAAATATGTTATACGGCGGTGGAAACTTCGAAGAAGCACAATCTAAAACAATCAGATTAAATGATATTCGTTCCGAAGTTCTTGAAAGGATTATCGAATATTGGCATTATCGTACACAATATTCTGATCATACTGATCAACTCCCACCTTTCGATATAGATCCAAATCTTGCAATCGAGTTGTTGAACTGCGCAGAATATCTTCAGACATAATTTTTTGTTTTTGGTTATAACGCATAATAAAATTACTTTGTTTTGATAAAGATAATTTATTTTTTTCAAATCTTATTCTTTTCATATTGATTTCCTTTACAACCAATGTTTTTTGAAGTAGGAACTGATAGATTATGAGCCTCATTTGGAATAAGATTCCTATGAATGATTTTTTGATTTAAATAACTAGAGTATTTTTAGTGCAAACTAGAGAGTTATATTATACAAAGTGAATTGGGTTTGATTTTTGTTTGATTACGAATTTTCCTTTCACTGACATCAAAAAGAGATTTCAAAAGAAAAATTAATCCACTTTTATTGAAGTTTCTTTGGATGACATTTAATGTTCTGTTGCATGCTAAGATCAGTCATAATGTAAACCTCTCAATTTTATTGTCGTGGGAAGTATCTCAATTCCTTCAAAAAAATTGAAAAACTATTTAATTTTAAAAATATAATACTTTTAATTAGTTAATTAATTGGAGATATTTTTAAAAAATCACTTTTGATAATACTTTTGAGAACTTTAATTAAAAAAATATATTCAAAAATATCCAGGATATCAAGAGGGAATTGTTCCTTATGAGGTATATAGTTATGATGTATACCTCATAAGGAACAATTCCCTCCTTAAAACGAGAAAACTTGTTCGAAATTGTTTATCATTTCGAACAAGTTTTCTCGTTTTTAATAAGAAACTAAAGGCTATGAGGCACTGATTATATATTAGTGCCTCACAGCCTTTAGTTTCTAATAGATAGCTGGGAAACTTTCTCCAAATGATAAGTTATTCAGAGAAAGTTTCCCAGCTATCAAGAGGGAATTGTTCCTTATGAGGTATATAGTTATGATGTATACCTCATAAGGAACAATTCCCTCCTTAAAATCGTAGACATTTTTATACTTATTAATCAACCATTCAAAATCATATTCCTCTGAAAAGTTATTTTATTAAAAATTTAGAATTTTAATAAATATAGAGTTTGAATTTCATACAATAAGGGTTTCATTTTGCTAAAATTGTCACTTTTATAGCATATTTGTTTTTGGATGTTTTGCGAAACCAAAAAAAAAACTATGATATACAATGTGTGTGTAAAGAAAATACTTTATTTACTAGTTAAAAAATCATTTGGTATTGATCAAGTTATTTTTTCTGGATAAGATATTATATGGATAATTGGATAGAAAATACAATTATATAATCTTGTACCTGGTTTAATTAAGCTAATTGTCATCAGAAACTTGTAATTTTTATGAATTTCAGATTTTCTTTTCATTACTGCTTTTCTTAATAGGTCAAGTTCTTATTTACGTTATAAAGTATGATATTTACAAATATCAAGTTATCATGTTTTTTGAGAAATTATGAGAAACAAACAAAAATGAAAAAGATAGGAATAGCAATGAATAGTGATGTGGGTATAGAAAATGTAAGAGATATGAATGCAAAGCAATCAGTATTTAGGACATTGACCATAGATTTCGAAAAAAAAATGCTGCATATTGAGCGAAAACTATGATTATATTATAAGGCTGTCATTTAAAGCATAATGAAACTATTCCCTTTTCATTTTAATCGAATAAGATAGTAAAGATTTTTGAATTAGCTAGAAACTGATGAGATGTTTCACAAATCAGATTTTTAATCTCTATAATGCATAATTCACTCAATATCTCAATTTTGATATTGCGAGATATTTTTGCTATCGGTTTCGCAATTTTGACACAATAGCAAGAGGGTTCTATAAGCATTATTATCAACGTAGAATCTAAATATCATATCAGAAAATGTCGCAAATCTGACATTTACCCGACCAAATAGCAAAAATAATTGAATACTTTTCGCAAAAACTTGAAAAATCGATAAAAATATGAAATATAGATATTAAAGAGACTTATTATATAATATTCATAAAGATTTTCCAAAAATATGATACCGCAAAATTAAAAAAGTGACGTCTTGAGTGGAGTCAAAGGTCGAAATTGCTAGCTAAATGTTTTTTTAGCGAAATTGCGTATTGTACGTTTTTTTCGCAAAACGAAACCCTTACATACAATACCTATATATTTTCAATAATGGAATTTGAAAACCATTCTCAAAAGTTCTCAGAAAACCTTTTTTCATTAATTTTAAGAAATCTGAGTATTAAATTAAGTGATAAATTCGTTTGACACTACTTTAATTTTTAAATTCAAAAAATTATATGTGCTTCTTAAAATGACTCAAAAAAATTTTATTATAAAATAATATATAATATTAAAAATCCCACAACATTTTTTACTTTACATAATCGTACTTCCTCGACGATTAATTTCCACTCAATTTCTATCGTTGACCGAACTTAGCATGCAACAGTTCTTTCATTTTCCATGATAATGATAAAATAAATGTAATTGATATTCATGCACGTTTTTATTTTTTAATGACTGAGGCTTTGGGGACTGGGCGTCAGGACTCATGTCCAGCCTTCAAAACCTTAGATGCCAACTTAAGCCTCAAGGAGCTAGAAGATTTAGCTATGAATAATAATGCTGAAGCGCAGTATTTACTTTCAATTGCATATAATAAGAAAAAAACACACGAAAAGCTTCTACAAGCAAATGAACTTCTCACTAAATCTGCAAGTGCTGGTTATGCGCCAGCGCAATACAAGCTCGGAAAGTTGATTTTAAACAGAAAAACTTATTCAAATAATATAACTAAAGGAATGTCACTTCTAAACAGTGCATCCAATGCAAAATATATTCCTGCAATAATTTTACTCGCACATATTTACGAAAATGGTTTATTCGTCAAAGCTGATGTAGAAACTGCAGTTTGTCTTTATAAAAAAGCTGCTTCACTCGGTAATGGCTCTGCAGAAAATGCTCTAGGATCATTTTACCAGAAAGGAAATATGGGATTGCCACAATCAACAGAACAAGCTTTAGAACATTACACAAATGCTGTAAAGCTGGGGAATTCGATTGCCAAATTCAATCTCTCAGTTTTACTAAAAGAACAAGGAAAAACAGAAGAGGCTCAAAAACTCTTATTAGAAGCATCAAATGAAGGAGTTCCACAAGCGCAGTTTAATTTATCATTAACCCTCGATTCAACGAAAGACAGAAACGAATATATAAGGCTAGTTAAAAGCGCAGCCGACGCAGGCTTAACAAAAGCTTGTTATGCGTATGGATGTGCCATCGAAGGCGATAAAAACGGAAAAGACCTCGAATACTTACTGAAGGCTGCTGATAAAGGACATCCTCACGCTCAGCTTAAATGTGGAATTCTTCTAAAATCTAAAGATTCAACATTGTCAAGAAGATATCTCGAACAGGCAAAGAAGAAATTACCAGAAGCACAGACAGTATTTGAACAGGTCATTTCAGAAGCAAAAGGCCACGATGCCGAGTCATTATACCAAAGATATTTATATCTTCGCGACAAAGACCCAGCTGAAGCCATTACTTGCCTTGAAAAAGCCTCAAACTCAGGCCACAGAGACGCAATGATACATTACGCTGATGAATGCGACAAAGGCGAAATAACTCCTCAAAATAATTCCAGAGCTAACGATATTAACCAAAGATTAGCCGAGAAGGATGATGGAGCAGCCCTTAACAACCTCGGAAGAGCATACGAACTTGGTCGCGGAGTCGAAATAGATCTGAAACAGGCCGAGGAGTGTTATAGACGAGCTCTAGGTAACAAATCCCTTATTGGTGGCCTGAACTATGCACGATTGCTATGGAATCAGCGCCATTTCGTCAAAGCTGGAACAGTATACAAAGATTTGTATGCACAAAGTCCGGAAGGTCCGGCCATCATGTATTTCTATGGACGTGCTATTATCAAGAAATCTATTGAAGAGAACGCTGATACAGACGGTGTTGCTTTGGTGAAGAAATCTGCTGATCTCGGTTTTCCTCTTGCTGTTCATAACTACGCTGTCATGTTATATACTGGTGATGGAGTGACACGTGATGTTGAACAGGCAATTAAGTTATTTAGAGAAAGCGCAAAGCAAAATCGACCAGATTTCAAATTTGCACTCGCTCAGATTTTAATGAACGGCTATGGAGCTGACAAAGATGAAAAGGAAGGACTGAAATTAATAACAGAATGCAGCGAATGGGGATATTTGCCGGCAATGATCGTTCATGCGAAATACATCTTAGAAAAGGACGTTACGAACAGACCACATGCTATCGAATTGCTTAAAACAGTCGCTGAGAAGACTGAAGTATTCCCTCAGTTCCAGGAAGTTCAAAGTGAAGCTCAATTGTTATATGCAAACATCCTGAAGGGAGAAGGTAAAACTGAGGAAGCTAAGAAGCATTTCCAGGCTGCAGCTATGAGTGGAAATACTGTCGCAATGCAGGCGCTTTTGTTGTTTTGATATTATTAAAAATTTTCTTTATCATCCAATGATTTTGTAAATTATATATCATAAGTTTTTATACATGATAATATTATTGAGTTTACATAACTCAATAAAATTCCAAATTTCAAAATTTTCAAATATCTTTAAAAATAATATATGAATGAATAAAACTGAAGTTATATATTCGATTCCAATCATTGAAAGACGTCTTTAATGTTGCATCTCAAAATTTTATTTGATTATTCTTCTTTTAGAATAAGATTATATTAATTTATTGCTTCTGTCTGAAAAAATAATAGGTAAAAATTAAATAGAAAATTAAAAACTTTAAATCATCACAGAATATATGTTTCGCTAATATAATTAATAAACTTATCAACATCCTCTTCAGTAGAAGCCCATCCAAGCGATGCTCTGACTGCTCCAAGTGGTACATTGTTAATAACATCGTATTTATCGCCACAAGTTGTCTTTTTATCGAAATAGGACTTGACAACAGACTCTCTAAGACCAGTAGCGTTGAAGCAAGCACCAGGGTTGCAATGGCAGCCACCTCTTAAATGGAAATATTCTTGGGAAGCGCTTTCAACAACAGAAGAATATCCGTATGGCTGGCCATCATGTCTGATAAGGTTGAAGGCTACAATACCGCCTTGTTGTGAATCGTCTTCTAAATGGTGATTTCCGTAAATTCGGGCATTAAGTCCGGCAAGACCATCATATAAACGTTTCGTAAGGGTTGCAACATGCTTTTGTATGTTTTCCATGCCGATGCCTGATAAAAATCTGATTCCTTCGATAAGAGCAAATGCATTTTCAGGAATTGCGTAATCATCTTCGAGTCCTTCTGGGAACTTCTTGATCTTGTATTGATCGCCGTCTTCTTTGTCCGCTGAATTAGCTGAAAAGTAGGATTTCTTTAATTGATTCATGAAATCGTTTCGAATAACTAAAGCTCCGTAGTTAGGGAAGCCGAAAATCTTGTAGAATGACATGTCAACTGCATGGAATGGATATTCTGTAAGGTTTAATGGATTTGTTGGTAAATAAGCGGCTGCATCAGCTAAAATAGCAAATGAACCGTTAATATGTGTAATTTCGTGCATAATCTCGTGAGTTGGCTTGGTTCCTGCGAAATTATCCTCTAATGGCATAGCTAATAAATGAATTATCGGTCCAGGCTTACTCATATTCTTTGCAATGTTGAGGAGACTCTGGAAATTGCGAGTTGCATTAAATTCTGCACCGTGAGCAATCGCATAACGACGAATTCCGAGAACTGAGTTATGATTAAATCTAGTGTAATAAAACTTCGATTTATTAGTCCAGGGGAAGTTCTCTCCAACAAGTTTCAAAGCTTGAGTAGCACTGGCTAAAAATATAACAGAATAATGCTCAGAATCAGTTCCTAAGAATTTCAGGAGTTCATTACGAGCATAATTGACGATATCGTCTGCTTGTGTAGTGTTTTTGTCTGTATGATAGTTATAAGGGAAATAACTTGTCATTTTTTCACGGAATCTTTCAATTAAGATGTCTGGATAAACTCCAGCGCCCGTATAGTCGAGGTATGTGTTATTCTTTAAATGAGGCATGAATTTCTTGCGGTATGTTGGTAAATATTGTGGGTAATTAGTTCGATCTAAGACATTTGTGGATTTTAATGAGGGTAAACTCTTGGGAGATGTGATAAAAATGTTAACAAGAACAGCAATAAATAGGAAAAGTAAACCAATATTAACTTTCTTGATCCAATTAAAACTATCACTATTTTCACTCATTTATGAAAAGTGACACCATATATATCTATATTTTTCTGAATTTAGAGGCCAATTTTAGTGGGAATATGATTTTCATATGATAGTATGGCAATTATAATTCCAAAAATTTTTTGAAATTCAAAAAATGAATATCAAAAATGTGAAAAATATTTTCATTTTTTTGTTTTTGAAAAAAATTTGGAATGGAATAAGTAGATATTTTGAAATTTTAATATTGTAGATTTGTTTATTTATAACCAAATAATATATTTATTCGTTTTAATGTTTTCTCAATTTCATTTTCTCACAGAGAAAGATTTCAATTGGAAAAAATACGTTTTTTGGAATTTGTTCGTTTTTTGGTGATTTCATCAAAATTATAGTTTGCATCATTTAAATAATCTATTAATCCATGAAAAAATTGAATTGATTACATAACTATTTAATGTCGAATTATCAAAAGTCTGCACCTCTGAAGCAAGGTACAGAGAGTCCCGAACCTCATAAAAGTCCAGAGCCAAGCCGTACACAACCAACACGCAGGCCTTTAGACGCTCCTAAACCATCCAATAGACAAGATCCAAACCAAAATTCATATCCAACAAAAACAATCAATCAGAAACAATTAGATAGTTCATGCTATCGTCTTTCACGCGTTCCACATAAGTTTACAACCGCAAAAGTTAATAAAGCAGAACAAGGAAACTTCGCTGAGCAGTATTACAATTCTCCAGATAATGAAATTGATATACGCCCACCAGAAGAGAAACTTAAGGATGTCGATGCTAAGCTTGGCGATGAAAACGCTGAAATTGAATCTGATGAGAGGTTCGACCTTCTTATCCAACAGAAGCAATTAAGAATTCTTGTTTACGGTGAAAACTCACCAGAAGTTATCCAATCGATGACTGCTATTGGCAGTTTCTATAATTCGCAAGGATTTTACACAAGTGCCAATCGTAACCTTAGCAAGGCACAGTCATCCGCAAAGAATACAAAGTTGTCAGAAGAGGATCAGTTTAAGCTGAACCTTGAACTCACAGATGTTGCTCTTCATTCAAGTTCCCAGAATAAGAGTGAACAGCAAAAGAAATTGTCTGAAGCCGATAAAATACTCTCACCATACGCAGAAACAGAAACTTCTGATCCTAAACTTGCTTATCGCCGCGATTTATACATTGCAGATATTCATTCACAAAAAAAGAGGTACGAAGAATCGTTACCATTCTACGAACGTGCAGGAGATAACTTCCCGCAAGCAAATCCAGAAAAAACTAAAGAAATGGCGGAAATTTACGTAAGAGGTGCTCAAGCAGCTAACCAAGCCCAAAATACAGAAAAGGAAATCGAGTTTTATAAGAAAGCTATTGCTGTATATCAAGAACTTCAAATGGATGCAGAAGCTCAAAAATTACAAGAAAAACTTCCTGCTGAACCAGCAGAAGGTGAAAATGCAGAAGGACAAGAAAATCCTGATCAAGCACAAGAGAATCAACCTAAGCAGGATGGTTCTGCTCCACCTCCGGCTCAAAATGCAAATACATCTCAAGGTTTGGGCCTCAAGCAACAAATTGAAGCACGCGTTGATGATGAAATTGATAACAAGCCTGCTCCACAAGCATAATCTTAAATATGACTATTATTTTTTTGCCCAATTTAAAGTTTTTTTTTGAATTTTTATTTTATTATGGTTTATTCTTTGACATGAATGCATTGCTACTTAAGTTTCTTTGAAATTCCTAACTTTTAATTTCCGTATAAGCAAACTTGAGAAAATTCATGACTTCATTTCAAAATTTTTATCTTGCTGTCATGAAGATAGAGTGTCTAGGTGAAATATAAATCAAATCATTTCATATTCATAAAAAAAAGTTCATCATCTCTCATTATCAGAAATGATAGCTTTACAGCTCGAACATCATAGAGAACAATTTAACTGTATCTTAGAAAGTATAGATAGATTTTTCTATTTATTCTTATTGAAATATGATCAGATTGAGATTATATGAAATAACTAAATTTAGGAAAATATATTTTGTGATATGTATAGGAATTTATAATTGATATTGTGTAGATGAACTTAAAACTCGTTCAGCTCTGAATCAAAATTCTACCAATATATGAAATGAATAACTTTGATTAAAACTTGTTTTTATTTCAGTTTATTTTAGAATATAAAGGAATATTTAGTTATGCCTAATGCCATGAGTACTTTACATAATAGACTTCTATTTTATCAATGGAATCAGACATAATTCGTAAATATTTGTCATCACCAACATATGCAATTCTTCCGTCGGCTAGTTCTAATTTACCCATTGATTTATTAAATTCGATTTTGTTGGAACCGTCTTCAATGTATGGTATTTGTAATGGGAAACGTTTAACCATGAACCTTGAACGGAATGTTTTCCTTTTAAGTACTAGTGTTCTTCCATCTTTGAGATCCCATTTCTTCATATCATATTCTTTAATCACAGATCTAAAGGCCAATAACAACAGCAAGAACATTGCTTAATGGCAAATTGTCATTTGCCAAAATCTGATTTTTATACAATTTTTGAGAGCTTTATGTAATCATTATCGCATTGTATTTTATATTGAAATACCTTCATGTCAATATTGACATACATGATGGCTACGTCTGAAGTCTAAATGAGATTTTCATATTACACAAACCTAGAAAGGAATTCTATGATAAAATATATCGACCTAAACTGAAATGGTCAAAATTAGCTTGAAAAAATAGATTAATATTGCTTGTCGATAAAAGCCGATAAGATTTTTAATAATATATAAAAAGAAACAATTATAATTTAACATATTTAAATGTATTTGAACCAAAAACCAAAGAATCAAACCATCTAACAAACATAAAGAAGCTTCCAAAGACACCAAGTAAATGGGAAATCAAAATAATAAGAGGTGTCTTTTCTGTTGTTTTTGTAAGTTGAAGTGGTGAAAAATCCCATTCGAATAGAATTGCAGGGATTCCATTCGAGCGAATTTTATCGATATTTGTCTTAGTTAAATCGGCCAAAAGTTGAAATCCGATTTTTTCATTTTCGATAACAGGAACCAACTTAACTTGGTATGTTAACATGTATAATACTTGCTTTTGTAGCATTAATGATGTTTGGTGAAGTGGAGAATCTAATTCAAGCTCGCCAAAACGAAATTGATTGATTCTATGCGATAAATTTTTGTTATAAAGAGTTATGTGTTGGTGTTTATGCTGTCCATTTTGTTCAAAGTTTTTACCAAGTCCAATATGCATAGATCCTGGAACAGATGGGATCGTTCCTTGAGATTTCATTCTGCAGAAACCTCCTTCCTTGTTAAAACTCGTATTTGATATTGCTTCAATTTCAAATGTTCTTTTTTGATTTAATATATCGAAATGAAGATCTTCACATTCACGAAAGATAGTAACATCGATATAATACGGTATAGTTTTCGGGAGACTCATGTCTGAAATAGACAGTTTGTCAACGGATTTTATGATATTGTATTCTTGGAATTCAAAATACAGGTTATATAAAAGATATACCATTGATATTATAGATAACAATCCTCCAAAGTTTGTTTTAACATTTAAATCTGTTTTAACAGCCTTAGGAAAGATATCTAAATTACGAAACATTTTTTTTTTGATTTTATAAAACATTTATTCGGAACTTTCAGATATTGAGGATCAAGTAATGTAGATGTTTTAGGTGTTTGGGATGATGATTTACCATATAATTCATAAAAATAAGATTTATTGAATTGAAATCAAATTCATAATATGGATATAAGAACAATTCTCTACAAACACATGAACAATTGACAAGGGATTTCATAATAAAGAGTAACAGAACTTTTAACCAACAAATCTCATTCAAAACTATAGTGTTGGGGATGAGTTTTTACAAAAATGTCTTTAAAACACATTTAAGCATCCCAAATCATATCAATATATCCGGTGTATTAAACAAAAATTCTTACAAAATGAGGCAAAATTTGAAATTTTATAGTCAAAACCATTATTTGAACGATGCAAATAAAAAATCCGAGATATCAATGAATTTGCACTAGTAAATTTTGATTTGAATGATTGATAAAATTTTCGCGGCAAAAAAGATTTTTTTTTAGAAAATGAGTGGAACTCAACCTCCATCGATTTCAATGCCAGGTTCCAGCTTCAGACCTATTAGTAGGACTTCGAGTACTCAAGTTCGTGATCATCTGATCGACAGACGTGAGTCAAGTCATTTAGATCGACTTCCGTTATCAAAATTATTATTATCAAAAGACTTTGGAGCAACACCAAAGATAAACGAAGACGAAGAAAAGAAGCAGAGCAAAGATTCAGATGAAATTGAAGGTGATGCTGAATTTGCAGAACCAGATGATATCAATTATCAAAACGTATTTAGTTTAGACAAAGATCAACTCGCTGCAAAAGGCTTAGAATTACAAACACATAAGAATCGCGTAGAATTTTACGAAGAACCACCAGCAAGATTTGGAACAAAGCATAAAAAAGCATCACCAAGGTGGAAGAAAGAGGAAACACAAAAATTCTATGAAGTTCTCGCAATGTGTGGAACAGATTTCTCCATGATTTCAAAATTCTTCCCAGAACGTTCTAGAAAAATGATTGTAAACAAATTCCATTGCGAAGAGAAAAAGAACACACAACAATTCCAAGAAGCTCTTTCTACACCAAAATCAATAGATATTGAAATGTTTTCAAAGATAAATGGTGTCGAAGCACAAACACTTATAGAAGACTTCCAAAAGAATAAAGATAAACTACTTAACGGTCAGCCACTTATGCAGCCGAAATTACCTGAAAATAGCGGTGAAATTTCTGGAAATGATGATGATTTCGAAGATATTGAAGAAAGAGATGATGATAAGGGCGAAGGAAAGGATAAAACCATTGAATCAGCTACAGCTGCTATTACAGAGAAAGGCAAGAAAGATGAAGTTGAAGGTACAGATGATTTCAACTTTGATTAATTATTTTTGTGTATTTAGATTATTTAAATAGTCACTATTCATATTTTTGTGAGAAATTTATGCTATTGGCATGCTTTTGACCAAAATCAGACAAAATTTTTAATGTTTTTAAATGTTTGAGTATTTTTGTTACTTGTAAATCAAATAACCGGATTGTATCAAGAGATTAATTAATTACTTTTTCATCTGAATTTATCAAGACAAATGTTCAGAATTATTTTATTGAGAAAGTAGTTTTCTAAAGTAAAGGATAAATTTTTAAAATCTAAACTCTATTAGTGTTATTAGTTTTGCTAATCAAAATCAAAAATTACAATTTATAAAAGAAAAATTTTGAAAATAACAATAAAATTTCATCCTTCACGCCATGTATTACCGCATTTGCAGCACTTGAAGAACAATGTCGCAGGTTCATCTGCAGATCTGATTTGGATTTCAGTGAAGAATGCTTCATTATGACCACATTTATCACATCTAGCTTGTGTCTTATTTTGGAAGCTCATTGCATCATCATTTGTAATAAGAGCTTTAACATCTAACGGATTTAATGGTGCAGATTGAACTGTTCTACCTACAAAACCCATAACAAAATTGCAGGCACGACATTTAAGTTGAGTCCTATCTCCTGATGTATCTACTAATAACAAATTTCCACAGGCTGGGCAAAATGAATGAGTAGACATTTTTCAACTTTACAAAATTGTAAAGTTTACAATTTTTTTGTCAATTCCGCCATTAGAAACATTTTTATTTACGATTGATTTGGCTTATAGGCATAAATTAATATTTGCACTGCAGTGACCGTTGAATGGATCTAAATTTTCATCATGATGAAGGATTTTTGAAATAATATTAAAATTCAACTTTGATCTTCATTTTATTTGTTATTACTCCTTTCTATTTCATTTTACTATCATAAACCTATGACTATGCTGGACTATATGTGATTAAATTATCATATATCTCATAATTCCATCTTCAATTTTGCCCAATTTCCATTATTGATGAAAACTGACTTAAATTTTGATCTAATAATAGAGATTTAATGAAACTGTATAACTAAATTATGCAAAATACATAAGATTTTTTAGACGGGATTTGCTCATTTCAATATAAACGTTTTTCTCTCCACTCAAATTCTTCTTAAAGATCTAATTTGCATATTTATGATGTTTATTTGTATTTGGAAACTCTAAAATTTTGACAAAATTTTTTTGTTCAAAGTTATGAGTGGGGAAGTTGAGATTTTATCTCCAGAGGAAATACTCACCAAGCTTCAGAGTATAGCATCTTCATCCTCTGTTGTCATGTCACATATTGGCCTTATAACTATTCCTCAAATCATTGTTTTTTGCCGTAATATTACTACATTAGATTTATCATCGAATCCAATTAGCTCACTAGATCCATTATGGAATGGAGAACTGATTAATTTACACAAACTTAATCTTTCTGCATGCTGGCTCACAGGTATTCCTTACGGACCACCCGTATTTTCAAGCACATTGAGTGAATTGTATCTCGATGGTAATTTTCTTTCAAGGAATCCTCCGAATTTTACAATATTTCCACATTTAAAGAAACTTTCAATAATTGGAAATGATTTTATTGAAATTCCTCCACTACCTCATTCATTAGAGTCATTAGTTTACAGAATGAATTCACTTTCATACATTCCAGATTGCTCAATTAACTATTTAGACGCATCATATTGTTCAACTCCAAATAAAATCAATTTTAGATCTAAACAGCTTTCGTTCTTAGATCTATCACACGGTACACTATGTGGAGATATCGTTTTACAGTCATTACCTCTACTTTCTCAGTTAAATTTATCTCATAATTCGATAACTTCAATTACATTCGAAGGATCAAGGAGATTAACAGAAGTTGACATCTCTTACAATGCTTTGGAAGAAATTCCAGAGGCTCTTTTCAGTTTACAAATGCTCAGAATCTTAAAATTACAACACAACGTAATTTCAGAGATAAATCCAAAGATTTCATCAATGAGGAGATTAGAGTACTTAGATTTATCACATAACTCCATATTTACAGGCAAAATAAGGCTTCCAGACAGATCAAGACAATTATTCATTTCATTTAACATATTTTTAGCTTTTTCATCATTCCCATTATCTCTAGAGACATTCGATGCTTCATTCTGTCAATGCTTAGTCATCCCTGCTTCAATCCATAAAATGAAATCATTGTCACTTTTCTTTGTAAACAAAATTTTCTTTTCTCAGGCACTTTTATCAATCAAATACACCTCAACAGAAGAAGACGTCCCAGAGGAAGAAGTACCAGAGAGATTGATACCTATTATTGCTCCACAAGTTCCAGAAAAACCTTTGTTAAATGATTCTTTGGGTTCAGGAATTGGTTGTTCAGCAACTTTGGGAAGATCAACGAAATTCGAGGACAATTTCATGTGTTTGAAGCAGGATAATGTTTTGTTCGTTGGAGTGTTCGATGGACACGCTGGTCATGAATCTGCTTTGATTTCTGCAGAATGTTTTACAAAAATTTTGCCTTCTTTTGACTTCACAAATGCAATTCATCAAAAAAATCCAGAGAAAGATGAGGAAAACATTCAAAAATTCGATTTCCCGAAAGTAGAAAACCATTTATCCCCAAGAAGAAACCATTTCAGAAACGTAAAAACCCAAGAAAATCAAATCTTTGGTTCACAAAAAATTGAGACAAAAAATATCAAAAATACTCAAAAAATTGAATTGAAAAATTCAGAAAAAATTGAATTAGAAAATTCAAAGGGTTCTGAAAATTTGAATACAAAACTTATCAAAACGTATTTGAGAATGGCATTTGCACAAGTAAATGATGAACTCAGGAACAGAAAAGTTAAAGATGGAACAACAGCTGTAGTTGTATGTTTGTTTGAAAATAGAAAAGGAGCTGTTGCACATGTTGGCGACAGTTTGGCATTGTTAGTTGGTCAAACAACTTCCAAACTATTGACTAAGATGCATAGACCGAGTGATAAAGATGAATTCTACAGGATGAGGAAAAGAAACAAATCTGTTTCTTCTGATTGGAAAGTTGACGGAAAACTTTCTGTTTCAAGGTCTTTGGGTGATTTCTGGTGTTGCGGCGGAATGTTTGATGATGCAGATGTTTCATTCTTTGATTTGAATGATGATGCACTTTCCATTGTTTTGGGTTGCGATGGATTATGGGATTATGTTGATGAAGGAACAGTTTGTAACGTTGTCAGAGAGTTACGAGACCCAGTTAAAGCAGCAAAATTACTCCAGGATATTGCTTTCGCTTCTGGTTCTCATGACTCAATATCTGTTATTGTTGTTAACGTAGAACCAACCAATATATAAAATATTTGTTTGTGCTTGTAAAACTATTCAAAAATGGTGAATTTTTTTAATCATTTTTCTCTCAAAATTTGTTTAAAAATCAGATTTTGGCAAATGACAATTTGCCATTAAGCAATGTTCTTGCTGTTGTTATTGGCCTTTAAATCTGTGATTACAGAATATGATATTAAGAAATGGGATCTCAAAGATGGAAGAGTACTTGTACTTAAAGAGAAAAGAATATATTCAATATTCAAGGTTTACCGTCCCTCATTACAAATACCATACATTGAAGACGGTTCCAACAAAATCGTATTTAATAAAGATTCAGGTAAAGTAGAACTTGCTGACGGAAGAATTGCATATGTTGGTAATGACAAATATTTACGAATTATGTCTGATTCCATCGATAAAATAGAAGTCTATTATGTAATGTACTCATGGCATTAGGCATAACTAAATATTCCTTTATATTCTAAAATAAACCGGAATAAAAACAAGTTTTAATTAAATTTATTTATTTCATATATTGGTGGAATTTTCATTTAGAACTGAACGAATTTTAAGTTCATCTACACAATATCAATCATAAACTCATATACATATCACAAAATATATTTTCCTAAATTTAGTTATCTGATAATGACAGTGTTCTGAAAAAATCGGGCCTTAAGCTCAATAACAGTCTTTTTACGTTTAAATAAACAATTCAATAATATTTATATTGAAATTGGAATTCCTATTCTTTTACTGTTCTTGTATTTAAAAATAAACACTAATATTTAGTCAACAAATAGTATTATCAGAAAAATAAGAAGAGCAAGAGGGAATTTAATGTTCGATAAAGTTAACTTTAATCTGAACATTTTATGATACCACCGATTATTCTTTAATGAATTATCCGGATCTGGGCGATCTTCAACATGCCCTTGATCAAGTATAGGAAGGAGTGAATTTTTATCCATTTTTGGTGTATTACAGTAAGGACAAACATCGGAGCGTAGAAGCCACTCTTCGATGCATCTACGACAAAAGACGTGCCCACATGGAGTTGAAACCGGATCATGAAGTTCTTCCATACAAATAGAGCAAATACATCCAGCTTCTTCTTCCTCTTCATTTAATTGTGTTTGAGATTGCAAAATGGGAGCATCGTCAATTGGTTTTTGAGAACTTTCTGCAACATTTTCATTCAATTGCTCAGGATTTTTATTAGGAGTATTTTCGTTGACATCTGTTGTTGGTTCTAGCATTGTGTTGTTTGGATTTTGTGTTTCATCCACATTTGGTTCATGAGGGGGAGGAAGAAAACCTGACTCCCTCATGAAAAAAAATTGTCAAAAATTTGTTGGAAACATGATAATTAATAATGCATCATCAGATTAATATTATTAATACTAAGTAACTGTGTGCGATTGCTTGCGCGCTGGATTATTCAGAAATTAGAAATTATTGATTGAATAACATGCTGATGGCGTACTTTCACGAATAAGACAAAGAACCAGAGAATAACAACTTATACTGAAGTTTTCAGGATTTCAATCCTCTTTTGAGAGACATACAAATTACTTCAGCGTAAACAAATTACAGACAAGTTCTCTCGCTCTTTGTGGACCAATTGCCACAGTCACATTACCTTAGGACAATGTCCTTCGGAAGTCTCTCATTAGATGAGAGGCCTTGGAAGAACATTGTTTTATACAAGTAAATTTACAGTCTCTGACATATAAAGAGTGTATAAGTAAACTATTAACTATTCGTTAAAATTTCAGAAATTGATTCTTGCAAATTTGGTATGTTCATTATAACAATATGTTTTTACTGCATCAATAGTTTACTTGATGAAGTAAACACTGTCAGTCTCGAGATCATGAACCAGTTTCCTCTAATAACTCAAATTGAAAAATTACTCCAAATTCGGGTTAGGAAAAAATTCTTTAATTAATTTTTTTCCCCAATAGAATATCATCACAATAATCATCTTAAAAATGAAATATTGAAGCGATATAGGCATTATTATTTTTGGTTTACATTTCAATTCATAAATTACAGGAGAATTTTAATGTTAATGTATACATGGCACGATGGGCGCTACTTTTTTGGCGCCAGCGGCGCCGCCCGCGCCTCCGGTGGCTCCCACTGGTGGGGAGGAGACGATAGAAAAAGATATAAATTTTACTAAAAAAATTGAATTTTGGAAATTCTTTTGATTTTTTTGAATGATTTACGAAGAGATTGAACACATTTTGTACTATGAAATATCGTTATTAATAAATTTACTTCTTAAACATCTATTAAAATCGCAATTTTGAATATTTTTATGATTTTTTTTGACCCGATCACTTGCGCCCGCGCCCACTGGGAGGGGCGCTTGTAAAGTATTCAAAAATCAATGTAAACATTTCAATTTTTGCTCCCACCTCCCATTGGGAGGGGGCATATATCTTGTAGCGTTCAAGTTCAAGTGATGAAAGTGCATAAGAAAGCTCCTTAATCATACCGATAGAAACAGCATTAGGGGCGCCAAATGGCGCTCGGTGATGTTTCCCATAAAAGCTTAATTTCAGGTATCCATAATCATAACCTGTCAGACGCAATAATTCATTAGCACACAATCATCGTTTCTCAATCAAGAAACGAAACGCACGATTGATTATGCTGGCCATTAAATTTTCATATCAAATAATTTACTACTTCAAGAAAAATTAAAGACTATCATCAACCAAAGCTTAAAATTCTCAGTGTTTACAACTCTCATACTTCGAATATGCATATTTCCAAAATAGCATGAAAATTTTTTTCATTTGAGCTCATTTTCTTTTGTTCTATTAACTAATACATACAGTACAAGCTTGTTATACGTATACTTAATAAGTAAGGTCTTAAGGGAAATAATAAAATAGAATTTTTTTAAAAATTAATTTTTTGTTAGAGATAAGAGCTAAAACTCGGTAAACAACTTCTTTATGTCTAGAAAATTCTATCTTGCCTTTTATTTTTTTCTCGCTGTGAAACGTATTCGGTCATTTTTTTAAAAATTAATTTTTTGTTAGAGATAAGAGCTAAAACTTTGCAGACAACTCCCCCATGTCTAGCAAATTTAACATTCGTCTCCCATTTTTATATATTTGGTTTAGAATGTTCGAAAATGCGTAATATGGTCATGAATATTAATTGAAAAGAACCTTGAATTAATTCAATCTGATCTCACAAAATATTTTAAATTACAAACTTTGTAGTTTGAATAGATAATTAGTATCAAACTCAAATAACTAGTTTATTTTTGAATAAAAATTATTTGAATTCATTCAATTTTGTGAATTTTCCTTCAAAAATCAAGTTTAAATATCTTATTTGCCATATAATTATAAATACAATGAAACATATTCGAAATTGAAAAGAATGACTTTTTCTGTTCTTTCAATCATTCAATTTGAATTTTGCAATATTGGATTTCTCATTAAATAGCTATTAAAAACAACAAGCAATTTAACTTACATTCAAATTTATTTGTGTTATATTCAATCTTCTCAAAACTTATAATTTTCGGCTATAGCATGATTATATGCTATATAATATAATAAACCTATAATAGTATCATTCTTTCAATTATTTGAAGAGAAAACCGAAAAAATCTATTTTCGGTCTATAACAATCTCAATTTCATTAATAAACGTTACGTTCAAGGACATTGTTAATAAATTTATGATTTATCCACGAAATATGATTTTTTGATGTTGACTCAATAAGAATTCAAAAAATAAAAACATAACAAGATAACCAAATAATTTCCTTATATATTTTAAAACAAAAAACAAGGTTGTTAAATTTGATATATTGAATTGAATTTTATTTGATTGATAAATTAACAATAATGTATTTTAGATAACGTCATAAGATATTTTACTATGTCCTTCATTAACAAAAAAGTGACATCAAATCACCGTAAAAATTATGAAAATTAATTGGCGCACAGATATGTTATGCGTACATGAATAAAGTTGCCTTAATTCTTTTGAGATAGCACACAATTCAATTCTTTTCATTTTTATACAATTCTTAAGTGAGAACAAATTATGTATTAATCTACAAGATTATTTTTAATGGATAACGGTTTCCACGTTCAATATCGAAACTAAACAAATTTATCAGCTACTCAATTCTTGTATCAAATACAAATTACATCAATTTTATTTTTCATTCCAATCAGAACCTAATTCAAATTTTCAATCCATACTGGAAATTCTGAAGTATTCAAAAATATATATTTTTTTTCCAAATGAGTAATATTCGACAAGAACCATCCAAACCAAAACACAAACATAATAAATGGACGGCAGTTGAAGATAAAATGCTAAAGAGTCTTGTTTCCAAATCCACAAAACCCAACTGGGTTGCCATTTCGAACCAAATTCCAAATCGAAATCCAAGGCAATGCCAAGAAAGATGGGAGTATTACTTGTCTCCAAATGTTAATAATTCTCCATGGACGCCCCAAGAAGATGCTCTATTGCTTAAGAAATATCAGGAATACGGAACGAAATGGACAATAATTGCCAAATTCTTTTATAATCGAACGAACACAAACGTTAAAAACAGATTTCTTGCTATCAATAGATATCAAAAACAAACACAGCCCACAACAGAAATTGAAGAAGTCACTCCACAATGTGAAAAAGTTATCCTTCCAAATATTATGAATCTTGATGCTGTTTTGCCTACAAACTTCCTTAATAGAGTTGCCATGTTAGACTCTGCTTCGTTCTTATCAACAATTATTTAAATTATTTGGGATCAATAGAATGCTTTAGCTCTTCTACTCCCAAATTTGTTTTTACTAACGTTTACTAAAGTGTATTTATATTATTCTTTCTCTTTTCAAATTGATACCGAGTTTCGAAATTGAGGAAAGGTAACTAAACTCCTTTCGCCGATCCGATTTGCCCCATATTTAAAATATAGCTTGCATATGTAGAAGAAAAGCTAATTTTGAAGTACGCCCGAAATCCACCAACAGGATTTCGAGCTACTAAAAAGGTACTTTTAAATGTGATTTTTTTTATAAAAAATTAAATTTATTTTAAGATCAGACTAAAAACTAATTTTATGGAAAATCTATATCGACAAATTTATTACTTATTGGGTATATAGATTTTTTGATTATGGCGATTATGTCTGATATGCTTCCAATAAGCCAAAACAGTGTTTTGGGAGTGATTAAATACAAAAAAATCTGGCCATGCTTTACGTGGCAAATGGTCGAATGGTGATTACCCCTTACTATTGGGTACCGGGGACGCTAGTTCGAAACTGATGCACTATATTTTTTTACAAAATGCGCTTATTAGGACAGGGTAAAGAAAGGTTGCCAATATAATATATTTAAATAAATACAACTAATCTAGCATAAAAAAACTATTGAATATTTGAATTCAATAAAAATTTATATAAAATACATGTAAAGCATAAATTACTATATAAATCAAGCTGTATTTTGTTTTAAACACCGATTGTTTCATATAATATATATTCAACTCAAGTTTCTAATTAAGGATTTCATATAAAATTTAGCATATGATCAGCAACAATTAAAATTAGTATTACAATTAATAAATTTAGTATAAAAACATATAGATTTAGTATAGATTTTATAGCTGTAATAAAAGAACTATTATAAAAGAGTAATTTACTGAAATGCACCTTATATTTATAAACAAAACTTATAACGTGTTAGTTACATATAGAGTTGAAATTCATAGATAGCATAGAGAAGTTGGGATCTTGGCTTAATGGTCATAATATAACCAAATTAATTCAAAATTTGAAATTTTAATATTACTGTAACTATAATATATGGATATGTTTTATGAGATCATAATAAATGACATGTTAATGTAAAATTTAGAATAAAAAATTATATTTTTTTAAAAAAAACATTGTTCATGAGTGTTAATTGGAGAAGTAGTAAATTAGTTCAGTTTGCAAGTGATGATGGTTAATCTAACTATAATTACAATCAATTTTTAAAATCTTTGATTTATTTTGGTGATAATTAAGAGTGCAGTTGTTCTATTTATAAACTATTTACTATAGACGGCACTGGTGATAATAAAAATCAAGCAAAAGCGCATCTGCTGTTGCTCGACTGCATAAAAATTGTAGTTAAAATTTGAATACTTTACATAACTCATTTGTAAGGTAAATTAATATTATTAATTTATATTAAGAACAAATAAATATGAAATGTATTTTTTTCCAAAAAAAATTAAGAAAAATGCCATTTTTATCATTGTTGTTAATGCCCCCTAATTCTTGAATGATTTTCGGGAAAAATAAATACGAAAAGAGAAATCATAGCTGCCAGACAACCATTATATGAAATTCATTCAGTTTACAAAGTTTAATTTCTTTCCACAATAGTACATAATATAGTAGTATATTCGGAAATATGCATGCTCGATATCTCCAATTCACATCTCATGCATCTTATCGGAGATTAAGTAACTTTATCTTGAAACTAGAAAAGTAATTAGCAAGTAGAATATATAAAAAATATAATGTTGTTTTATATTGATAAAACCATAAGAATGGCTATTCTAGAATGAAATTTTAGTACCTATATTCAGTGAAAGGTTTATTTGTAGTTGAACTTTCAAATGAAAACTCAAGGATCCAAGAATTGAATTGCATTAACAAACCAATAATGAAATATGATATATACATATATATTTTACCCATAAAAATAGAATTAAATCGATATTTAACTCAAATTGTCAAAATATCAACAAAATAATTTAAATATATATATATAAGAGAAATATGTGATTTTGGTGTTTAAAAAAGAAAAATATTGCCAAAACAAGTGTTCTAGCTAAAAAGGAAAAATGCATTATTTCATATTTCAATATCAATGTTAAATATTAAAATAATCTGCCATTATTCAGACAGTTAAAAAATAAATACACTATAAGTTTAAGCTTTAGCTGTAAAATAAACAGTAATATTAAATAAACATTATATTATATAGTCGGAGCGATTCTATATATGTACTCTTATGCCAACTAGTTACAACCTAGTAAAATACATGGAAATATTGTAATATCCTAGCATTGCTATCGAAGTAGTAGTATATGAAGGGTTTAGTGACTTTTTTTGTAAACGTAAGAATTCATACAATATTGAACGATTTTGTATCATTTTTTTTAACATATGAAGTAAAAAATGTATGTTTCTTACGGTTTTTATTCTTACATTTTTGAATAAATCAAGATTTAAAAAATTTTCAAAATTGTAAGACATTTACACTCAACCCATACATGATGTAATAAACACATTAAAATTTTTTTAAAAAATAAACTTTAAAATAATTTATTTTATCTTTTATAAAAGAAGCTATATATAGATGATGTCAGATATTCCGCGATTAATTAAACATTGTTTAAATCCTGAATGGAATCAATGGAGTCATAATCAAAGACCTCATAAACGAGAAGAAGAAATTAGAAACTAATGATTATTTGAATTTATGAAATCAATTATTTGATTCATTCTTTCTTCAATCTCTTCTATTCTTTTTGTTAAATCATCTATTTTCATTAATGAGGTGATTCTTGATTGAGGAATAGATTTCAAACTAACCACTCCTTTTATTTTTGAAATTTTGAATCCATCAACTTTAAACATTTTATTCAATTTACATGTTGTCAATTCTTCAAATAATTTTTTATTATTAGCATAATAGTCATTAAATTCTTCAACAGATGAAAAATTTTTTATTTCAGTAATTGGTTTAACAATGTTTATTTTTTGTTGAACATTTTCACTTTCATTTATTTCTTCCTCCTCTGTTTCCTTAATTTTTAAAATCGGTTTCATTTATCATTAAATAAAAATTAGAATATAAATGATGAAAATATATTTTTTAATTAATATTAAATCAGAAATGGCGGCAGGATTCTTTAAAAAATTATGGGATGGAATTAAGAAAGCTGCGGGTTGGGTTTATAAAAAGATTATTAAACCCGTTGCAAACTTTTTGGCACCAGTAGCGAAAACGGCAGGAACTATCATAGGTGGAGTATTAGGTACTAAAGCAGGTAATCCGGCGATGGGAGCACAAGCAGGTAACGCAATTGGTGGAATTGCTGAAGGAATACTTAATAAAATAGGAGGTAAATAGTGGAAAAATAAATTATTTTAAAATTATTTTTATCTTAGTATCGGTTGTAGTCTTTGATAAACTTTTTCTCCTTTATTTAAAATTTCTCTTATTGGGGCAGCTTTTGGTGTTATTGATTCAGCTACGTCACTAATTGCTTCTTTATTCTTAAATATCCAATTTGCTCCCTTCTTCATTGTTTCCCAAACTTTACTCGCTCCTCTTTTTACTCTATCCCACAGTTTCTTAATATACCTGCAGAATTATTTCATTAAAATTAAAAATTCATTTCATCTTTTAATTTTGATTTTTTATTTATTAATAAATGACGACTAACTATTTAGTGCCAAACACTAAACCAATTAATGGAAATGTATTTCATTCATTCGAAAAGATAAATGAATATTCGCAAAGAATGACGGTAGAAATATTATAGAGAACTTGAAAGTTCATGCTATGACTCTGATGCTCCATATTTTGATGATAAACAAACTCATTTAAGAATTACAAACCCAGCTCATGATGTGAACCAATTAGGTGACACATATATTAAACGCAAAGTTAAAGCAACTCTAGTTTCAAATAAAGCTTTCACATGTGATGCCGCTTTTAAATGCATGCGTTTATTCGTTGGTTACAAATCATCAAATCAAAAACTTTAAACAATTAGAAGTAGAAACGAAAGAGGTGATGCCGGTTATCTTCAAATGGATTGCGCCCGTGAATCTTTCGCATTTGCAACATATAACCGAAATCAGAAAGGAAAGTTAAAAAGTTTGTTCATTCGTTATATAATAATGTTCAAAAATATGATAACTCAGTATGTGGTAAATATATTGACCCTTCAGAAGTTTTCAAGAACGCAAATAAAGAAGTTGATATCACTTTTGATATGATTATTCCTGTAAATGATTTGTTAGCATTTCAGGCGTTCGATGATTATCCTAAATCATTTGGTGATATCATTCTTAAATATTATGTTTTCAGGATACTTTAGTATTTTGTCAGGTTGACCCGTTAAGAGTTGCTGATTTACAAAATTACGTTTATGAAAAGATAACTGATGAAAATTATGAAAAAGATTATGAATCATGTTTATAAATATGATCGCAAATTCCAACAAATCGGACTTCCTGCCAAATTAATTACAAGCTTAGCCGCTACATCTGCTGACGCAACAGTTGATGACGTTATTATTTCATGCACAAAGATGGAAGTTTTAGAGGATAAATGTATTATACCAGGATATGGTTTAATTGAAGAATCAGTTAAAGCAATACCACGTTTATTCAGTAAGGAAGATCCATTCATGATTCCAGCTCAACATATTGACGTTCGTTCACTAAATGGAGTTGCATCACTCCTGAAGGTATCAGCTCGGATTTCTCATACGCTCTTCATTGTTACAGGATGTTGTTTAACATTTCCGAAGAATGCAATGCAAAGAACAGTTTTAGAAAATCCAATGCTTCGAGGTCTTCAGGTCTATAGATTCCAGAAACTTCCCCGATCAAGCGATGACCACAGTGGGCGACATATTCTTTACACGTATGCTTCAAGCTTCTGATTTAGATGGAGTGAATGAATGCACGGAAAATACGAGGACTCATTAACTAGACCACTGA